TTATAAATATAGGAGAAAATGCATTACGAACTTCCACACACATACACACAAAAAAGCAACACAACTAGCTGTGGTATCCTCAATACCAAATCATGTGACCATTATTTAATGTTAAACATTACCTTGTGTATCACATAGAATATCATGAGAGATTTTTCAGACCAGGTGCTTTTTAAATCCTTTATATTAACTTCCTTTTTGATCGTGGCTGGTTTGCTGGCTGGTCTGGTGGTCGGCAAGACCTCAGGGCGACTAACTAACCCACTTCATGTCAAAAGATAGAGATAAAACTTGGTACCTAGACTCAATACTTATGACAACACATTCATTTTAATTTTCACCCACCCCAACCCCAACAAATAATTTTGTTTTTCAAAGGGAAGATGAAGACAAATGATTTCATGAAATAAAATTCATAACAGCGTTAACTTAGGTTCCTTAAAATAACAAACATATAACAAATGGGTTTGATGCCTAATATTTTCTTTCGTTTTTCTGAAGTAGTTGGTGAAATAATATTGCAGCGTAAAATGTGAGGTTGCGAGCCTTGAGGGGATGAAAGCACTAATTGGAATCTTATAAGGTGCTTTACTTGTATGCATGTTATGTCATATTTTCAGCCGCCCCCCATTGTAAAGGTTTATACGCAAAACGTTGTTTTTATGGGTTGTTTAATTAAATAATTTTTCTAAATTCGCTTTTGTTCGTGGCTGGCTGGCACCAATTTCAACACATTCTGTCGAAATTGCCCCCCTTTACCATTGAGTGACCTTCTGCTGATATCACAGGGAGGAAAAGTGATAGAGACACTTTTTTTCTTATTCAATGTTATCGATTCGCCATAACAATCAACGACGGGCAAAACATTTTTAACCTCAGAAAGGTCACCCCCTGATATTTTAAATGTTTATATTTCATGGATGTCACAAGATTTTATAGCCATATTTTTTTAACCCACTTCCTTATCTCCTTCTAAGTTGTAATCTTCCAAGACTAAATAAGTGCAAATTTAAAGAAAAAATAATTTAAAATACTTTTTAAAAAAATAAATAAACGTTTTTTTTCAAAAATATACTAAAAGTATTTTGTTTGTTTGCTTAAGCTGTATGCTTGACAATGATGTCGTATGACCTTTTCTTAGATTATTCTGTCAGTTACTCTGCGTATGGTCAAACCTTACATTTATATTTTGTCACACTTCTTGATCTCAAATTGATCTGAAAGAAAGAATATTGAGTTGTTTACATCATTCTCATAATTGGTACTTGCAGCAGTAAAATACATAGAAAAACACAAATTATGTTTGCCATGTGACAACTGTTAGCACAAAATGGCAATGTGTTCGACTTGTACCTCTATTGGAGGCCACGTCTTTGTTATGTTGTACAAATCAGATCTGATGTAAGCTTAATCATAGAGGAGAAAAGGGGGGGGGAGGACTTGCAGAGACCGAGACAACCGAGTAAATCACTGCTACAAATTATACATAAGTATAAAAAAAACTTGTCTAATCTAACAAGTTAACTAATTATAAAAAGTGTTGGACTGCAATAAAGCTTTAACTAATCTAACAAGCTATAATAGTTCCTGACACACATTTAACATGTATCACTGTGAGCATATTATTTAATATGTTATTTCACTTCTTTGTTTTCTTCGACCGCATTTGGTCTTGTATGTCAGTCTTGCATGTCGGTGAACTGTGTGGTTTCAGCTTTATGACATAGTGGGAATGCAGCCTTATACATTCATTGATTCATTCGTGTGTAGAGTCTTGGATGTCGGTGAAATGAGTGGTTTCAGCTTTATAACATAGTGGGAATGCAGCCTTATACATTCATTGATTCATTCGTGTGTAGAGTCTTGGATGTCGGTGAAATGAGGACACCGTGAAAGTGCAGCCTTACATATTCAATGATACATCGCTTCTACTTATTCATCAAAAAGTTCCACTTTCTTCTAAAGTTATGGCTGTTCGTATTTATTTTATTTATAGAGTCGTTTTTTTTTGTTTTGCTCTTATTTCATAGTTGAATTTTTTTAATGAGCAGCTGCTATTGTCAACTTTACTTTCTGTTTTCACCGGTACTCCATGTTAATTTTATGTCCGGAATAACCAGAAACATTTCTAGTCAAACAACAATGGGAGAGTTGCCAACGATTAGCTTTTTAACAACAAACCAAAAGTCCATCATATCACTGTCTAGTCCTGTGGGTCTCAACCTTCTAAATGCCGTGACCCTTGAATTCAGTTCCTCATTTTGTAGCGACCACCAACCATGAAATTTTTTTCATTGCTACTTTATAACTATGTGTTTTCCGATGGTCTTAGTCGACTCCTGTTTTAGAGTCATTCGACCTCCAAAAGTGTCGCGACCCACAGGTTGAGAGCATATGTCGAAGGTGCATATAGCAATAGATATTATACTTTGAACGTATCTTATAGTAGTCAGTTGCATTAAAAAAAATGCATACGCAAGAAAAAAAACAACAACTTAATAATATAACGTTATCTTTTAAGAAATTCTCCTACATTCTCCTTAAACTTCAACTGGGTGTCCGCATCTTTATTTAGCAAATCACGACAGACGTTACGGTGAGACTAAGGGACAAAACGTTTATTCTGCCCATTGTTTACCACAGAATGGCAATGGGAGACCTGCGAAGCTAGAGACTCTATACAGCTGTCAGCATAATTCGAAGCTTGTATGTGAGTGTGTGATAATTAGCTGTAGACAATGCCACACTGTTTTCGTTCTGTAATAAGTGTTGGGAGTATGTGATACTTGAATGTAGAAAATATTCATTGTTCTGTCAGATTCACAAAGCAACATATACTGACATTAGAGATTTACAGCATTCACAATAAATAATTAGGGGCATGAATCACGGCGGAACTAAACTTTTGAACTTATGGTGTTTTTATATTCCGCACTAGTAAAAGATTGAAAAAAAAACAGTTAAGCATATGAAGTTTTCATAATCTAGTAAACATCAGGTTGAATACAATTAGGAAATAGGACCAGGGCAACACCACGAGAAATAATTCCCCTAGGAAAGTTTTCATGAAGCATGGCGGCACGTTCTAGAGCTGTTCATCTTGTCCCATTGGTAACACTGTCCATTCATGCGAATGTTTCTTGCACCATAGAACCTCCTCAAACTCTAAAGACATGAACCGATCACCGTTTTCTTGTGGCAATCTCAGATGACAAAGTGAGTGTTGGGCTTTCGTTCTCCTGAACTATTCCGTCACACCTCCTGCACCATGCAGTTGTTTCTGGACAATAACATCTGGTCGCTCAAATTCAAGGGAGCAATGTGTCTGGAAATTGATGTAGACGTTCTTTGGACTTATAGACTTACGTCGGAGAACCTCAACTTCCTATAAACATCTTAATCATCGTACACCTTGGCCAAAAACGACCCACAATGCACAATACGGGCCCACATAAAAGTCTTAAAATGCGCAACCCGCGCCAACATTTCTGGCGTTGTCAAAACTGCATCCAGTACGTGAATGGACCTGCGTCCTAAATCAATCGGCGAACATTCGTATTTCGTATGTTAATTTCCAAGGATTTTTCGCCTAAACCTTTTTGTGTTGAATGCGGACCCTGCTGAAGAAGTAGAATTGCTCAAGAAGTAGAATTGCTGAAGAAGTATAATATGGGAGGATTGCGTAGATGTTGAAGCAAAAAGAACTATAAAACACAGACTTGGGGGAAACCACTGTGTTGTTTCGCCTTCTTGAAAGATTTCCCCATATCTGATTTAAACACGTGACTAATTCTCATTTGTTAAAGTAATTCTTGTTGATCAGGCTTCCCCGTCCGTTTCCCCATCTCACCACCATAATTTGAATGAACAGATGAAAGGACGAATTAAATTAAACATAAAAAAGAAACTGTGACTGACAGCAGGGCAGAATATCCAACCGACCGGGACTTAAAGCAGCCCTTGCTACCAGTGAAATAGCCTCTTCAATACCAGTCACAGAAACATTGCTAATCTTTCTAATTACATAGGAGCCTGATCGATGAATACATTGATCGTTGACCCTTAATATATAGAAGAAGATGAAGATGTAAGACAAACTGATTGATTATATATATATATATAATATATATATATATATATATATTAATTATAAAACTATGGTTAAACTAAGGCTTTATAAATCAGTTCAATGGCAAGCCACTTTTGCGTAATGAGGCTAACAATGGATGTGTCAGCTCGTATGTAGTAAAGTGGCTGAATTTTTTTTTTTTTTTTTAGGGTTTCTTTATTTTTATTTGGGTGAACACAAAATTTCTCATTTCCCCGAATGAACATTTATTCAGGTTTGTGCCACTTTTGCGTAATGAGGCTAACAATGGATGTGTCAGCTCGTATGTAGTAAAGTGGCTGAATTTTTTTTTTTTTTTTTAGGGTTTCTTTATTTTCATTTGGGTGAACACAAAATTTCTCATTTCCCCGAATGAACATTTATTCAGGTTTGAAGTTACATTGGTCACTTCCTCTCTGGTCCTACGAAGATACAATTTATTTTTTGATCACCAATTCCTTGTGCTGTTAGCACTTGTTTTTTTTATGGTGGGGCTGGGTGGGTGTGTGCTGAATAAATAATGACATGACAGTTATGTGGTAAACAATATGAAGGATAGCATTGAAATTATATCATCCAAGGACAGTCAACAAATACTAATAAAAAAATGAATGATAGCAGGGCCAAGACAGTTGTCAGCTAGATAGGCTAAACATATAATTGAATGATAGCAGGGGCAAGACAGTTGCCAGCTAGATAGGCTAAACATATAAATGAATGATAGCAGGGGCAAGACAGTTGCCACCTAGAAAGGCTTTCTTTGCATATTAAAAAAAATCTTGACGCCAAATGGTCTCCATGTTAAAAAGTGGCTGATGACGTCATGTAAAAGAATTTATCTTATTGTGTTTTTTTTTGAAGCAGATCTAATGTAAAATATAAAGAACACATCTCTATTTTGGCACACAAAATATGCACAAGAGTTCCATTTCTGAAAACTTTCTAACCACTGTCTCAATCATTCAAATGATAAGACTTTAGCTAAATTACTAACTCTCATCAAAATTTAAAGAATTTATATAGCGTTATAAAAAAACAAAAAAACAACAACAAACAAACTATGAAACAAAGGAGTCCCATCTTTGTTGTCTTTGCCTTGATACAAAGCCTTCTTGGTGAGTACTTCAAATATAAAATTCTTAAACAGATTAAATGATTATAATTAATGGACTGCATTTCCTTTGTGTAAAAGAAATATAAGAAAACGGGAAGGCCAAGCTTGAATTCATAAACATGACAAAAGATTTTGACATTTCGGCTGAGAGCCTTCATCAGAAAACAAGACGAAAAGAAATATAAAATGCATCAGATCACAGTAAAAAAAAAAAAAAATTAAAAAAACTTTAGAGATTTCCTTTTGTTGCCGGAAGTAGGATTAAAGGAAGTGAAAGAATGTTGAATATAATACCAGTCGAACTGTAAGAGTATTGTGAAGTGAGAAACCAGTTGAAATGAAGAGAATTGTGGCGTGACAGACCAGTTGAAAACTTGCTCACGGCTACTCATGTCGATGTTTTATTCTTTTCCCTACAGGAACACACGGATTAGAAATTACTTTGGACGGCTTTGAAGTCCTAAACTGTAGAAGTATAATATGCAGAAGCGCTTATCGGGAATACAATGTAACAGGAAGGATCATTCTGGAAGAAGGGGAGATAATGCCAGGATACATTCTCTACGAATACAAGTGTCCGACGACCAGACGTTGTGTCACTTACCCTGGATTAGGTGATGTCTGGGAACTTGTAAGATGTTTTCAATATTGAGGAAAAAACAGCAATAATCACTACACGTATAATCAATTCCTATTTCTTTACCCAGTCTTTCCCAACCACTTTATCGTCTCAAATCCTTTGTCCTATAAGTTGACTAAATCTCAAATCCTCTGTCCTATAAGTTGACTAAGTCTCAAATCCTCTGTCCTATAAGTTGACTAAGTCTCGCATCTCAGGCAACACCCGTATTTAAAAATTGCAAAAAAAATATTTAAAAAAAAAAAAAAAAATGGCTCTTTTACTTTCATTTTTGTTTGACTTAAAATTAACAGAAAAAAGAACTTAAGAAAGCACTTGATATGGAGCATACGCTTAAGTAATCTTTTTCAAACAGTTAAAAATCACATATTTAAATTAATTTTGTTTTCTGTCCTATAAGTTGACTAAGTCTCGCATCTCAAGCAAAACCCGTATTTAAAAATTGCAAAAAAAATATTTAAAAAAAAAAAAAAAAATGGCTCTTTTACTTTCATTTTTGTTTGACTTAAAATTGACAGAAAAAAGAACTTAAGAAAGCACTTGATATGGAGCATACGCTTAAGTAATCTTTTTCAAACAGTGAAAAAGCACATATTGAAATTAATTTTGTTTGAAAATACCCGTCTATTATGTTAACTTCGCCTGAAATCAATTTTAATATCTTATGTATTAAAGATAAGTTTTAAAGTGTACACATTGTATATACATGTGTACACATGCATGTATTATTATCGTCCCTTGCGTGGTACTGGGGTCGCTGAGCGCACCCGCTGACTCCCTAATGGGTTATTGGGTGGTGAGTCTAAATGGAATTTTGAAACGTTGCTAGAGCTCTCTCAAATTATTATTATTTCATTACAGACCTAAATAAATACTAAGGCAGGGGGCGACCAGATAAGAGGACCACTAGATAAGAGGGCCGCCAGATAAGAGGGCCGCCAGATAAGAGGTCCACTAGATTAGAGGGCCACTAGCAATGTTCCCTTTAAGCTGCGCGGCCGCACAGCAATCTCACAGAAGCCGCGCAGCAGTTTTGAGTACCGCGCAGCTAATTTCCACTTAAGTGTCTGTGGGCTGAAAATTTTGCGCACAAAAAATTGATGCTGTAAAAATTTGCACACAACTTTATGGTTTTGCACAAGAACCAACAAACCTTAGAGTGAACATTGGCCACTAGATAAAAGGACCACTAGATCAGAGGGCCACCAAATAAGAATTCCACCAGATTAGAGGGCCATTAGATAAGAGAGCCACTAGATAAGAGGCGCACCAAATAAGAGGACCGCTAGATAAGAGGACCGCCACAGTTGGTTAGCATCTGAGCTGTCAGACTAGGAGGATATTTGTGGGGAAGTCTGTAGTGAATGACTCAATGAGTTTAGCGCCGTGGTTCACAATTACCCCCGGGAAGGGGGAGGGGGAGATGAAAAAGGGGGGGGGGGGGGGGTCAGCCCCTGGGAAGGCACTTTTTCTATATATGTCACATGTGGCCTAGCATCATTGGCCACGTTAAATGAATACAAATGGGGTCTTAGGTTTAAGTAAGCAAGGCATAACTCTTTTTAACATCGAATTCTACTCGATATTATCAGAGAATGGAATTCCAACATGATATTTAGTCTTTTATTCTCACTTTATGACAAAGGAATATTATGAAGAAAAAGGGAGAGAAGTAATATAAAATTATTTGTCAAAATTGGACGTTATCAAGCATATATATATTTTTTTAAAGACCTGGATTGATGAAATAACACGTCTAATGCTGGTCCATGTGAAAGTTGGAATAATATTGCAGTAAAATATTAACGATATTAAGTGAACAAAACACAAATAGACATTGTTTAATGGTTAGATTTTAATTTCACTGATTTTGTTTATGACGTCCCTTTTCGATTTCTTTCCCCAAAACCATGTTTTGCTTGGTCTTATAAGTAAATCCTCGACTGCGACTACGACTTTGAAAAGTATCCGGTGTTAGCACTCTACATGTTAACTCCGGTTACATATGTTATGATCATGTCGTTTGTGTCTCTAGGTACAAACACGATAGTGACATAAGGGTGTCTATGTAGTATTCATGTATAGTGATAGATCAATGCAGTACGCCAAGCCTGGGGCACATTGATTCATGGTACTAAGAACCTGAGCATGAAGTATGCCAAGCCTGGGGCACATTGATCCATGGTACTAAGAACCTGAGCATGAAGTATGCCAAGCCTGGGGCACATTGATTCATGGTACTAAGAACCTGAGCATGAAGTATGCCAAGCCTGGGGCACATTGATTCATGGTACTAAGGACCTGAACATGAAGTATGCCAAGCCTGGGGCACATTGATTCATGGTACTAAGGACCTGAACATGAAGTATGCCAAGCCTGGGGCACATTGATTCATGGTACTAAGAACCTGAGCATGAAGTATGCCAAGCCTGGGGCACATTGATTCATGGTACTAAGGACCTGAACATGAAGTAGGCCAAGCCTGGGGCACATTGATCCATGGTACTAAGAACCTGAGCATGAAGTATGCCAAGCCTGGGGCACATTGATTCATGGTACTAAGAACCTGAGCATGAAGTATGCCAAGCCTGGGGCACATTGATTCATGGTACTAAGGACCTGAACATGAAGTATGCCAAGCCTGGGGCACATTGATTCATGGTACTAAGGACCTGAGCATGAAGTATGCAAAGCCTGGGGCACATTGATTCATGGTACTAAGGACCTGAACATGTAGTGCGCCAAGCCTGGGGCACATTGATTCATGGTACTAAGGACCTGAACATGAAGTATGCCAAGCCTGGGGCACATTGATTCATGGTACTAAGGACCTGAGCATGAAGTATGCCAAGCCTGGGGCACATTGATTCATGGTACTAAGGACCTGAACATGTAGTGCGCCAAGCCTTGGGCACATTGATCCATGGGGCTAAGGGCATGACCTTAGTATGCCAAGCCTAGGAACCGTGACACACTCGGGGCTAAATACCTGAACATGTAGTACGCTAAGCCTGGAACACCTTGGACACAGGGGGCTAAATGACTAAATATGTTGAATAAAAAGCCTGGGGCACCTTGAGCCAATTGAGCTAAATTACTGAAAATGTAGAACCAAAGCCTGTCGCACCTTGAGAAAATGGAGCTAGAGTGCTGAAAATGTAGAATACAAAGCCTGGGGCACCTTGAGCAAGTGGAGCTAAAGTACTGAAAATGAAAAGAACAAAATACCTAAATACCTATATGATTTATAACTACCTAGCTATAATACGAATATGTAGGTGAGCAGGAACCCATGGGAATCCATACGAAAATATACACATAAATATCACATGATACAAGAAATAAAGTCAACAATGTGAACGTGAATTCATTAGAACATAGTTTCTTAACCGTTTTCAGCTCCGCTAGAGCTCTTCATTTCATATAATTTCTCTTGTGCCAGTCTTGATTTTAAAACATTGTTCTCACATCCCCCAAAATTAAAATGATCAAAACACAAATAGAACGGACATCTTCTGTGCCTTCCCACAAACTCTGATAATGAATCAGGCACCCCATAGCTCACGAACACCCACATTTTAAAAACCCTTGAAGTCGACCATTGATTTTCTGAACTAATTAAGGGTTTATTTAGTCGTTGAGCATTCTGCGCTATTTTATATCAATTTTACATTTTTTCATACCGTAATATGCCCGTCTCAGTATTTTGTGTAGCCTACACTCCTGCAGTAAGTATCTCGATTTTTACGTGCATTATGAGGTGGGGATAGAAATTGTTTTACCTGTGTTTGAACGCAAATGCTGCATGCCTTGCATGTTGAGAACGATGTTAATGACAATCAGATACGGGCATTCGGATAACAGACATGAGGGTATATCGACACTTTACTGTACTATCTAACAAATTTTAAGCAAAATAAAGTTTAGATCCTAATACCGTGCATAATTTACACATAAACTGAATAATTTCATACACAGTAAATGAAGGTGCAATTCTGCCTACGACGTCTGTAAGTCGTGTCAAGTTATGCCGCCTAACGAGAGTAAAATAAAACTACTAATTAAACATGTTTGGAAACCCACAAATGTTTACGATTGATAAGTTACCAATTGTTGTTTCCTTTTTAATGTTTAGCAATTTAAAAAAAAAAATGACTGCTTTGTCCTAAGCTCTATAACAAAAAATAGAAACAGTCTTGCTTGAATTTAGAACAAGATAGACTTATTTTTACACCTACTTACTTGAGTATTAAATATTACGTCTTTGCGTTTTCAGTTTATAGCAGTAGATGCCGGAAAATGCGCTTATGAGACGTATCGGTGGGGCTGTAAGTTGATAAGTGGACGAACCTACAGGCACTTCTTTGGGAGATCATTTTTTTATTTGTTCAGATTGTGTACAGTTAGGGCACGGATGGTTGCCGACAAAACCTACGCATGGCAGACCCCGATAAATCCAACTGGAAATAAACATGTCAGCAATGAACTAAATATGTCAGATTACAAAAGTAAGCATACCATATTTTTTAATTCCATTAATTCACATGTATGCAAACATGATTTCATTCCATATTTGGATAACGATTTTTGTTTGTCTATTTTAAAATTGGGACACACACTAGTTATACAAAAGAGTATAATTTTCTGTGCTATAAACAATGAGAATATATTACTAGAGGTAGGCTATTGAGTTAGATACAATTTTTTTTTCAAACACATATTTTACCGGTATTTCTCTTCTCATTTTGCTAATGGAAATATTATCTACTGGCATGTATAATTCGCCTTTTTGTTTTAAAACGAAAACAAGGGGCTTGTAAATAAAATAAAAATATTGAGCCGAAATTGGCACAATCATAATTTAATAAAATGATGTTTTGAATTACACAAGTGCGTGTCAATAAACTTATTTTTGTGGTACGCCCTTCTCATATGTATATTAATAAGGCTTTATTCCATTGTGAACAAAGAGACTTCATTATCATTTTACGCTTGTAAAGCTTGGGGATACTAGCGGGATGGAAGGCAATTCTTCTTTACCTCGCTGCTCGAACTCTTTGTGCGTTCATTCACGTTCTATACATAAGACTCCAGATGTGAGCCTTATTTAGACTCTAAACATTGTTCTCCAGTAGTGAGTCTTATTTACTTTGTAAAGATTGTACCCCCAGAAGTGAGTCTTATTTACACTGTTAAGGTTGTACTCCTAAAGTGAGCCTTATTAACACTCTAACACAATGAGCCTAATGATATATCAATAAACTCTTCAATGCTTTCTTCATTTAATCTAGATGATAGCAGCTATTCTTCACAGTACGATGCAAGCCTTGAAAAGGATGATGTTCAAGTTCCATGTGGGTCCATGTCATTCTCTCGTAGTGGCGCAGACAAAATACATCTACCAGGTATTACAATGTTCGTGTTCATAGTTTCAGAGGAACGTTTATTCTATTTAATTACTTAAAACGCCTAGGGTGTAGACAAGGGTGTTTCTAGAGGGTGTAGACAAAGGTGTTTCTAGAGGGTGTAGACAAAGGTGTTTATATAGGGTGTAGACAAGGGTATTTCTATAGGGTGTAGACAAAGGTGTTTCTATAGGGTGTAGACAAAGGTGTTTCTATAGGGTGTAGACAAGGGTGTTTCTATAGGGTGTAGACAAAGGTGTTTCTATAGGGTGTAGACAAAGGTGATTCTATAGGGTGTAGACAAGGGTGTTTCTATAGGGTGTAGACAAAGGTGTTTCTATAGGGTGTAGACAAAGGTGATTCTATAGGGTGTAGACAAAGGTGTTTCTATAGGGTGTAGACAAGGGTGTTTATATAGGGTGTAGACAAAAGTGTTTCTACAGGGTGTAGACAAGGGTGTTTCTATAGGGTGTAGACAAGGGTTTTTCTATAGGGTGTAGACAAAGGTGTTTCTACAGGGTGTAGACAAGGGTGTTTCTATAGGGTGTAGACAAAGGTGTTTCTATAGGGTGTAGACAAGGGTGTTTCTATAGGGTGTAGACAAAGGTGTTTCTATAGGGTGTAGACGAAGTCGTTTCTATTGGGTGCAGACAAAGGTGTTTCTATAGGGTGTAGATGAAATAGGTTCAATGGAGTGTTATAAAGGTGTTTCTATAGGGCAGGCCTTCACAACATACGGCGCGCCAGCACCCAATTTGCGGGCTGCAAAGTAACGAAATATGTTGTATTATTATTATTTTATTAATAGCTTTTCCCCCGTCCTATTTCCCTGCGGCCCACATAAGTTGTTCATTAAGTATTACGACCCGCATTAAATTTAGAGTTGTTTGTGCAGGCCTGTTGTAGTGTGTGGATAAAGATGTTTCTATAAGTTGTAGATAAAAATAGTTTTAACATCTGTAAAGACACTATAAAGTCCTCATATGCTGTAAGGTTTAAATCAATATACTTTGTCTGCAAAGACAACTATTGTTAATTTTGTAAAACTCTATAGAGCAATAACACAATCAATGTCTTGGAGTTGATGGAGATGATAGTCGGTAAGATCATGATGAAACACACAATATAAACTTAATTTCTTTAATGCCATATCAGTGTTCTTTTATTTTTCCATTTAAATAGAAATAGATATTTATTTAAAATAAATGTTCTAAAATGTATTTAAGTTTATAAAGAATGTTATTTTATTATTATTTTTTTTTTTTATTTTGTACATTATAATTTATTCCCAGATGCGGTATTGATTATCTTGGGTTCAGAAATTGCCATCAACAGGATTGTTTTCTACTAGCAAGAGTCAGGCTCCTTAGAACATTGAGTTCAAGTCAAGGCTTGAAATCGCCAAGTCCTAAGCCAAAGAATGCAGACATTTTAATATTTTAGGTTCAAACCTAGCCAGCCTCAACATTTCTTATGATTTATTCTTAGACGTTGAAGACGATATAGAGAAAAGAAATTCAGCAACATGCATCCTATTTCCTTTAGTTTATTCTCAGACACATTGATATTTCTCTATGAGATAATGTAAACGATGATAGATTGACACAAGATAGTGTAAAATGGAAATGCCAAACCATCAAATTGAAGACTGGTTTGTGCAGCAAAACTGACATAAAATAAATTGCGTTATTTTTTTTGCTTTGCCGACCGATTTTTCCAACAAAAATTCACCAAGTCACACTCAAAATGAACGAAAAATCACAAGGAATGCATTGAAATAAAAGTGTAAGAAATTGATTAGTTGTAAAGTTATTGGGGGTTGTGGCAGAACTAAACATAAAGGTAATTAAAAAAAATACGCTGATATCTGGCAATCAACAAAAGAACAGCATATTTTGATTCAACATTTTGCTTTGAAAATATATCCATAAATAATTTAATTTCATACTATACTTTTTTTCATGACAATAAAGTTATGAAAAATTCAGTTATGGGAGATTAAAATAATTCTTTGCAATCATACACAATGTGTTTTTTAAAGTTATAGTGTTTTATTTTCCGTTTACACTTGTTTAGTTACTGGTAAATTTATTGATTAAATCATAATTTCTGTTTCAGTTAGCAATAAAACTGAATATAGCATACAAAGGAACACAAATCGTACCCACTAAAATGGACCACCCTCTGTCCCTCATCTTTCACCAGTGAATATAATCCTTTAAGTGTTACATAATATGTTTGATTACATTCCTGTAAATAGATTTCTTTTTTTTCCCTTTGTTATTTCTAATAATTAATTTGTTATAAGATTTAATATTTTAAAAAACAGAAGGCAGAGTTTAAATTTAAAAATAAAAAATTAAACGCTTTCGTTTGTTTACGCCAGACTTCCAAAAATTTCTCTAAGCCCTGGTTAGAATGACCTTTCATTGGCGTTTAACTTTTATTATAGTGTTGGATATTTACATTGAATGCCACAGCTATTGATTAGAGGGAGGTTATGTTTTTTAAGCAAATTATTCAACACCCAGAAATTAGAGATACTTGTTTCTTAAGCTAAGTATTCGAAAGCCAGTGAACGGAGATAGTCCCAAACAATATAGTTGCTGTTTTTATTTATGAACAATCTAAGGCTATTTAGGACAAGTCATTTTAGGTCACATTGACGGTCGGCAACCCCGGGGATCCGAGTTACAATTTTAGGGTAGGTAAGACGAGAACAGTGTCAGAGTGTGTAGGTGTTGAGACCCACTGATCCTCACCTTTTTGAGACCCATGGCTCTCACGCTCTACATCCCTACCCCTCGTGATAGGAAAATTAACCTTGACCGTGACCCAGCTTAAACAATGAACTCATTCTGGTCAAGGCGTAACCACGTGGACGCTAGAATGTACGGCAGGACGCCAACCATACCCATTATATAACCAAAGGCGCCATCATTTATCGCCCTCTTTCACCTGTAGTTTGTCAGCAGAGCCTGGCTAGCTATTGTATTGTGATACAGTTTGTTTATCCCTAATTTGGCTAGCCAGTTAGTACCAGTACCAGTTAGTATCAGTACAGTTAGTAACAGTTAGTACCAGCACCAGTTAGTAACCATTACAGTTATTACGGATAGTACCAGTAGAGTTGATTTAACGTCAGTATAGTTGAGTTGAGCTTAGTAAAATTCAGTACAGTCGATATAGTATACCGTACATCATAGACCACTCAGTTCAGTTGAGTTAGTTACTGAAGTCAGTTGTTTCGGGTCAGACTACCGCTGACATCCTAATTAAAGTAAGCAAGTGTAGGTTAGGCCTGCGAAGATAAGCATGGACTCCGTCAGAAGCCCAGACTGTGTGTCGTCTGTTTGTGTGTGCACCAACCGTTCGATTTCAAGTGTTAGATTCTACACCTACCACTTAGCAGGGACCAGAGACGCCGCAGTGCGCAGTGACCAGTGACCAACCAGAGGGAGGCCAAGCAAACAAGGCTGTGCGTGTGTGTGTGTGTTTGGGACCTGGACTGCTTAGAGGACAAGATCGCCAATCGGAACTGAGTCCATCACAACTTGTATTAATATTAGGCAAAATATTTAGTCATTTCTTTATATGTGTATGTGTGTAGTTTATTCTGTTTATAATTAAATATTATTTGTGGGCTGAACCACCTATGTTTCTTAGTATAGTGATAATATTAATATAAGTAAGAAGTAAGAGTGTCATTGAATGTTAGAGTGAGTGTGGAGTGAGATTAGTTTAGAGTACTTACTTAGAATATTATACAATCATAACCTAGACATAACACTAGAGGCAGTACTAATCTAACGTAAGGTAAAACAAGGGATCTATAAAAACACGTTTCTTTTCAAAACAAGTAAAAAGTAACAGTAAGTAAGATGACATCATTGACAGAGTGGGTAGGTAAGATGAAAACAGAGAAAGAATGAGTTGGTAAGATGGAAACATTGACAGAGTGGGTAGTTAAGATGACAACAGTGACAGAGTGGGTAAGATGACACCATTGATAGAGAGGGTAGGTAAGATGACAAAATTATCAGAGTGGGTAGGTAAGATGACAACAGCGTCAGACTGGGTAGATAAGATGACACCATTGACAGAGTGGGTAGGTAAGATGACAACAGTGACAGAGTGGGTAGGTAAGATGACAACAGTGACAGAGTGGGTAGGTAAGATGACAACAGTTTCATTTCTCGTCAATTTTTATCGTTCATAATTTTTAGAAAACTGTAAGTATTTAACTGAAAATCGTTTTTCATTGTATCGAACTTGTTTGTTACAATACATTCTGGGTAAATACTTTTTAAACAAGGGCTAAAGTTTAGTTTTAGTTATTAGTTCCACGTATTTGCCAAAGTGGATATATTGATCTGATCTAAACATTTATTTTAAGTTGATTTTTTTGAATTTTCATTATGAAAAAGGGGCACGATAAAAGCCCTCTTACGAAAAGTCCCCAGATACAAGCGCTAGAGGCAAAAGTCCCCAGATACAAGCGCTAGAGGCAAAAGTCCCCAGACACAAGCGCTAGATGCAAAAGTCCCCAGACACAAGCGCTAGAGGCAAAAGTCCCCAGACACAAGCGCTAGAGGCAAAAGTCCCCAGACACAAGCGCTAGAGGCAAAAGTCCCCAGACACAAGCGCTAGAGTCAAAAGTCCCCGGACACAAGCACTAGAGGCAAAAGTCCCCAGACACAAGCGCTGTAGGCAAACGTCCCCAGACACAAGCGCTGTAGGCAAACGTCCCCAGTCACAAGCGCTAGAGGCAAAAGCCGCCTACTTTGACTAGTATGGTTTTGGTCTTATATTTATCAAATATGTTTCTTTTATTTATAGCAACTATTTTAAGAAAAAATTTAATGATAAAAGTATTTTTTCTAAATGAATGACCTGAGCACAGATCCACTGACCGCTAATCTCCTAGATCCACAAACATATGGCGTGTTGAACTAACCTACCTTAAGTGATCCAAATCAGGAATATACAAGGGTGGCCAAATAAAACCAGTACACATAGGCCATCACGACTGCAAAAAACTTCCAATTGCACAAACCATGTACCGGTTTTATGTGGCCCATCTAGTAGTTTATATAAATTTAGATGCATCTATTTGAAGTCGCCATATTTAAGTTCTTAAATTTTCAACATTGTATTAACTACTCTACATTTAGATTATTACTTGTATTATTTTCACAAAAAATAATAAACTTATCTTTGTCAAGGAAAAGATCGGAGACAAAACGACCGGAGGTGAAATGGTGCCACCACCGTTTCACATATTCTTATATCCTACTAACTTCCATTTACTATTTCTTGACACCCCGTTCCGGATAGTTATTCCTCATATCCCATTCCTGATACTGCACCTTAATAAACCTTTCCTCATTCCCTAAATAGCCCATATTTACATCCCTTCCACATATTATAGACCCCTCCTCTCACTCTTAACCCGTTTGTTCATAACCCCTTCCACATTATCATTTTAACTTTCTCCTCATGATCATACCCCTTGTCTCCTACCTCTCCCCACATCACCATTCCTTATATCTCCTTCCTTATTTAAGTTACTATTTTTTCCATAAAACATTGCAAGGTTTTGGGGATGCGAAAGGTCAACGTTATTGAATAGTTAAGATAGTTAAGATAGTTAAGATAGTTAAGATAGTTAAGATAGTTAAGATAGTTAAGATACAAAGCTGAATTGTGCGTAGCGTGTTTAAATAATGGATAATTATTTAATTTAAAAAGTGAGCGTCATATTTATTTGACAAATGAGGTGAAAACGTCACCAGTTTTATCACGTGGTTAATCTCAAGAGGAGTTAATGCTGGTGATTTGAGAGTCATTTGGGCCATTTACAATAAAATTGATATTAACTGGCAAGCCTCCACGTACGGAAACGTGACGTTAATTTAAAGTTAACTTAATATAATATTGGGATAAAAAGTATATTGACGTTTTAAACAAGACAGTTTTAGCGATAAACTGCCTTTTATGTAACTACTAAAATTTAAAAATTTTATTTGCTTTCAAATTAATAATAGTAATACACCTTCTTTTATTAAGCATCTCGATAAAACCCGATTATAAGTATTGTATTTTCGATGCCAAAATCGTATACAATATTATTTTAACTCTTGACTCTTGCATTCAGAAAAAACAATTAAAATATATATCTACTTATTACATTTTTTAAAAATTATTTAGAATAATAACGCGTATTCTATATAGATTACAAATATTTACATATAAGGATTATTCATTTGATCAAATTTTGATTTAATTACGGTAAATAAATATAAATTAATATCATTATTTTTAAGAAATCCCACCAGTGCAGGAGTTTCGGTTTTCGCGGCTATTCAACACCCTTATTTTTTATTGAAATTTTTGCGAATTTTATAATGCACACTACTCAAATTTGTGATACATGGGGACTCTAGTCCCTTTATTTTACATTCATATGGACGTCTGTCTGAAAGGTAGATCTTTATTGATCGATTCATTTGTTACTGAGAATTTATGTCCAAAAAAAATATATCTATATTTGTATTTCTGTTTGTTGTTTAATTCAGCAATGTGCCCTAATGGCCGACATTCATTTCAAAACCATTAACACAACCAGAAGTCAAACTCTATCAGTCAACTTGGTGTGTGTGTGTGTGTGCTTCCAGAGACTTTATGTTATGAGTTTCGTTAAGACAAAGTCAGGAATTTAGAAAGTAAAAATAATATAAAGAAAAATCCTCTTTAAGTGTGTAAGAAGAATGAGCTTAACCGTGGACATGTTATAAGTTCACTGTTAACTTGATGAAATGGATCACTGTATGATCCAGACGTTGAAGAGAACTTTCTGCACTGAGACATTAAGGAGGGCATCGTTTCTGACCCTAGACTAAAACATACAATTGTGACATGGAGTATTCTGTCTCATTTATTAGAAATGAGTA